CTCTGGAAAACAGTGTGGAGGTTCCTCAGGAAACTAACAATAGAGCTCCCCTATGACCCAGCAATAGCACTGCTAGGAATTTACCCAAGGGATACAGGAGTGCTGAGGCATAGGGGCACATGTACCCCAATGTTCATAGCAGCACTCTCAACAATAGCCAAAACATGGAAAGAGCCTAAGTGTCCATCAACGGATGAATGGATCAAGAAGATGTGGTTTCTCTATACAATGGAATACTACGTGGCAATGAGAAAGAATGAAATCTGGCCATGTGTAGCAACATGGATGGACCTTGAGGGTGTTATGCTGAGCGAAATAAGTCAGGCAGACAAGGATAGATACCATATGTTTGCATGTATAGGTGGATTAGGAGGAACTTAACGGAGGACCATGGGGGATGAGAAGGGCAAAAGTAGTAGGGGAGAGGGAGGGAGGCAAACCATGAGAATCTCTTGAATGTTGAGAACAAACTGAGGGCTGATGGGGGTGGGGGAGAGGGGAAGGGGGGTGTTGGAAATCGAGGAGGGCACTCGTTGGGATGAGCACTGGGTGTTAAATGGAAACCAACCTGACAATAAACTATGAAGGGGAAAATAAGGAAGTTTTAAGAATTTTGAAGGGTGCTGCACAGGTTATGTGAGATTCAGAGCACACAGCAGGGGCTGGGGTGGGGAGGGCAAGTAGGAAGAAGGGAGGAATATAATGTGGACTGTAGCACCACCCAAGTGGGACTTTGGTGGTATCCAGGAGGCTTTAGAATGGAAGATGCTGGAGAGATAAAAGCCATTTGGAGAGTGTAGGAAATTAGCAGGGATATGGTGCAGGAAGGAGACAAATGCATGATGATGGGTGAAAATGTGAAGAAGAAAAAAGTAATGCTCATCTGAGAACATATAGTGGAGGACGCTGGAGAGGCAGCTTGATTCCCTGGGAGAAAGTGGCTATTTACCTCAGAGATAGCATGTTGAGCTGAGGTGTTCGGTTCAAGACGGATCTGTTCTCATCTATCATTATAGGTGCATCTGTGATGGGGAAGATGGGCAAACACCTTTAGGAATCCTACTGTGGGAACCTGGGAACCAGGTGGGGGGAGAGGGAACAGATAGATCTTCTACATACGGATGTGGGAAGGGACCATACACGCAACAGAGGACCGAAACAGCATGTTGAATCCTGAATACAGACATCCCATGGTGAGAGCAAGCTGGAGAGAAGGATGAGTTGGCTGCACCTAATAAAACCCAGAGATGTGAAAATAAGTAAGGAAGAGGACTCCTCCATCACCTATCATTGGATATTAGTGCATTGGGGAGATTTCATCTATGGATTATTCAGGAGTAGTTCTTTTTTTTTTTTTTTTTTAATCTTTTAACGTTTATTTATTTTTGAGACACAGAGAGACAGAGCATGAGCAGGGGATGGGCAGAGAGAAGGAGACACAGAATCTGAAGCAGGCTCCAGGCTACGAGGTGTCAGCCCAGAGTGAGGGATCAGCCCAGAACCCAACACGGGGCTTGAACTCACAAACTATGAGATCATGCCCTGAGCTAAAGTCGGATGCTCAACCAACTGAGCCACCCAGGTGCCTTAGGAGGTCTTTTTTTCTTTTTAATATTATTTTTTGTCAGGTTGGCTAACATACAGTGTGTACAGTGTGCTCTTGGTTTTGGGGGTAGATTCCCATGATTCATCGCTTACATACAACACCCAGTGCTCATCCCAACAAGTGCCCTCCTCAGTGCCCATCACCCATTTTCTCCTGTCTCCTGCCCCCCATCAACCCTCAGTTTGTTCTCTGCATTTAAGAGTCTCTGATGGTTTTCCTCCCTCCCTCTCTGTCTGTAACCATTTTTTCTCCTTCTCTTCCCCCATGGTCTTCTGTTAAGTTTTTCAAGTTACCCATATGAGTGAAAACATATGGAATCTGTCTTTCTCTGCCTGACTTATTTTACTTAACATAATACCTCCAGTTCTATCCGCATTGCTGCAAATGGCAGGATTTCATTCTTCTTCATTGCCAAGTAGTACTCCATTGTATATATAAACCACATCTTCTTTATCCATTCATCAGTTGATGGTTATTTAGGCTCTCTCCATAATTTGGCTATTGTTGAAACAACTACTATAAACATTGGGGTAATTGAGCCCCTATGCATCAGCTTTCCTGTATCCTTTGGATAAATTCCTGTAGTGATATTGCTGGGTAATCAGGAGTTCTTAAACTCTTCTTCTCTGTAACAGAACAATACATTAGAATATTTAGACTATTTAAATTTCTTTTACAATTTCAAATAGTGCTGAAGTAAATACAGATAAGTGTTATGCATGTAAGTGTAGTGCCTTTGTATGTTCAACCATTTATGTATTTTATGTGTAAGTACTTACACACACATTCACACACACACAATACACACATACTACACGTACATGCTGTCAGCTCCCAGAATCTTGGAATTTATGCATTATTTTGACACATGCTGCTAAATTACCTTTTAGGTTGTTGACCAGTTTACCCTTCATCCAAGACTATGAAATTATTTCCTTCACACTGTTGTCAATACTCCATGAATCAAATCATTTATAGTTTGCCTATCTCTTAGGTGACAAATGGTGTCTCATTAATCTTTAAATGCACATTAATTCCACTTTAAAGAGGTGCATAAAGAGTTTTAGCTACTTAGGAGAGGCCAGTCCTATGCAGCATCAGGATAGGCTGGTGGGAAGCAGAGAAACATCACAGTAAAACATGGAGGTGGTGGGCTCGAGATCATCTGGGTGTGATAATCTTTCTGTTCCCCTCCTCCATCACTCATTAGCTTGATCCTTGGACAAATAACTCTCTGTGTCTCAGTTTCTTGTGAAATGTGATTATTTTAAAGATTAAGTGAGATAAAACGTATGTTGAATTTCACATGTACCACATAGGAAGTATCCAATACATATTCTTTTTTAGTCATTACTGTTGCACTAAATGGACCTTTGAGCATCCTGAAAGCCAAAGCAAAGTGAGTTCACCACTCAGTAAGAAGAATATTAAAATAACAATAGACACTACATTTATGTAGCACGTACTATGTGCCACACTCTGTACTGAGTACTTTGCATATATTAAAATATTTTGATAAGAAACAAAATTTGTTTGACCACTTACTATGGAATTCTACATTAAATTTCCCAACAGTTTATTACATTATACAGAATATTTCATTCCTATTTTTCAATGAGGAAACTGGCACTCAAAAAAGTTAAGAAATAGAGGTCCCTCTGGGTGGCTTAGTCAGTTAAGTGTCTGACTTCAGCTCAGGTCATGATCTCACAGTTTGTGAGTTCAAGCCTCGCATCAGATTCTGTGCTGACAGCTCAGAGCCTGGAGCCTGCTTCTGATTCCGTGTCTCCCTCTTTCTCTGCCCTTCCCCTGCTCACACTCTTCTCTCTCAAAAACAAACATTAAAAAAAAAATTTTAAGTTAAGAAATACCCAAGATCCCATCACCAGAAAGTAGTTGAACTGAGATTTGAACCTATGCCTTTGGGACTACAAAGTGTTCCTGCTACAGGCTGAAGCCACTCCAGGAGGCTGCATGTCAATCTGACCACCCTCTGTTGAAAGACTCTGACATGCAATGTCTAAAGGCTTGATTCAGGGCTCTTGCTGTGTGATGTGTGCACACATTTGTATGTAAGAGTTTACAGATGAACACTTTTCTTAAGTTTATTTATGAAAGAGAGAGAGCATGCAAGAGAGTGGGGGAAGGGCAGGGAGAGAGAGAGAGAGAGAGAAAGAGAGAGAGAGAGAATCCCAAGCATGCTTTGTGCTTTCAGCACAAAGCCTGATGCAGGGCTCAAACCCACAAACCGTGAAATCATGACCTTAGCTGAAACCAAGAGTTGGACGCTTAACCGACTGAGCCACCCAGGTTCCTCTGGTTCAATGCTTTTTAAATCAAGAGCCTAAACACAACTAAAGTGTTCCCAGTGGTATTTTGCTATGATCAGCAAACCGATTCATTGAATGATACCCACTGAGAATGATTTACTGACTCAGGTCCACAGTAGCTGGTGACGTTTGCATCCGTAGGCCTCATGACCCCAGAGCCTCCGAGAGGATGGGGCAGGTCTCCCCCAAGGTTTCCCATGACAGTCTTACTGGTGATGTATTAATTGTAACGATTCTTAGTTATTTATATATTTTGGTAACAAGTGTTTGAAAGAACTAATTGCAGTTTTGCATCTATTTGTACACAAATGTGCACTCATGGTGCTAAAACACTCTTTGATCGTTGAAGTTAAAATATCTATGAGTACTGGAAATATCCAAAACTGGCTTGGGGTGTTTAGAATATTCTGTTAGAGATCCTGTCTATTAGCAAGCACATGGCAGCTGCCTCGTGTACTGTTACCAACCACTACATGGATCCAATACACTGTTTCCCACCTGGGTCCTGAAGAGGTGATACAGTGTGAAGTCATTTACCCTTATCTCGCTCCTTACTCCAGGGTGATGTTGCTCAGGATGGTGAGGCTTCAGTGCTTGGGCATCTCTCTAATACTGCTTACATCTGCAGCCTGGGATAGGTAAATGCCCAGGAGGAGAAAATTCAGATGAATAACATCAGTGTATCGAGTAGCATGATGATAAAGCTATGCTAGATAAGTATCATAGGAGCATCTAATATTTTCCGCCTTCTCTTTAAACTAAGAGAAGTAAGGATAACAGCATTATGTGCACGTGTACGTAGTAGACACTTAAGAGTAAGGACAGTGTGGAGAGAAAGAGCAATATTCAGTGCACGCTTCCAGCTAAGTGTGCTCAAACAAATCAGTGCCTACTTGCTCTAGACTCCTCACCTTTAAAAGTAAGAGGAAGAGCTTGATATTTCTAGCCTGCCTGAGGGTCAGCATCCTGTAAGAGGTCTCCATGTCTTTTAAAGTGTTTGATCAATGCAAAGAACCAGAGACAGACATTTTGCTAACTACATCTTTTTTCTCTTATCTCCCCAGACTATGTCAGAGAATCACAATGACCTTGCACAATAACAGTACAGCCTCGCCTTTGTTTCCAAACATCAGCTCCTCCTGGGTCCACGGCCCCTCGGATGCAGGGCTGCCCCCAGGAACGGCCACCCACTTTGGCAGCTACAACATTTCTCGAGCAGCTGGGAACTTCTCCTCTCCCAATGGCACCACCAGTGACCCTCTGGGAGGTCACACCATCTGGCAAGTGGTCTTCATCGCCTTCCTGACGGGCGTGCTGGCCTTAGTGACCATCATCGGCAACATCTTGGTGATAGTGGCCTTTAAGGTCAACAAGCAGCTAAAGACAGTCAATAACTACTTCCTCTTAAGCCTGGCCTGTGCCGATCTGATTATTGGGGTAATTTCAATGAATCTGTTTACTACCTACATCATCATGAACCGATGGGCTTTAGGAAACTTGGCCTGTGACCTCTGGCTCTCCATTGACTACGTGGCCAGCAATGCCTCGGTCATGAATCTTCTGGTCATCAGCTTTGACAGGTACTTTTCCATCACGCGGCCACTCACATACCGAGCCAAACGAACCACAAAAAGAGCCGGCGTGATGATAGGTCTGGCTTGGGTCATCTCCTTCATCCTTTGGGCCCCCGCCATCTTGTTCTGGCAGTACTTTGTTGGGAAGAGAACTGTGCCCCCAGGGGAGTGCTTCATTCAATTCCTCAGCGAGCCCACCATCACCTTTGGCACGGCCATTGCTGCCTTCTACATGCCTGTCACCATCATGACTATTTTATACTGGAGGATCTACAAGGAAACTGAGAAACGCACCAAAGAGCTTGCTGGCCTACAAGCTTCGGGGACAGAAGCAGAGGCAGAAAACTTCGTCCACCCCACGGGCAGCTCTAGAAGCTGCAGCAGCTACGAGCTTCAACAGCAGAGCATGAAGCGCTCGGCCAGGAGGAAATACGGACGCTGTCACTTCTGGTTCGCCACCAAGAGCTGGAAGCCCAGCGCTGAGCAGATGGACGCGGACCAGAGCAGCAGCGACAGTTGGAACAACAACGACGCTGCCGCCTCCCTGGAAAACTCGGCCTCCTCCGATGAGGAGGACATCGGCTCTGAGACAAGAGCCATCTACTCCATCGTGCTCAAGCTTCCCGGCCACAGCACCATCCTCAACTCCACCAAATTACCCTCCTCGGACAACCTGCAGGTGCCTGACGAGGAGCTGGGGGCAGCGGACTTGGAGAGGAAGGCCGGCAAGCTGCAGGTCCAGAAGAGCGTGGACGATGGAGGCAGTTTCCAGAAAAGCTTCTCCAAGCTTCCCATCCAGTTAGAGTCGGCCGTGGACACAGCTAAGACCTCTGAGGCCAACTCCTCAGTGGGTAAGGCCACGGCCACTCTACCTCTGTCCTTCAAGGAAGCCACTCTGGCCAAGAGGTTTGCTCTGAAAACCAGAAGTCAGATCACCAAGCGGAAGCGGATGTCCCTCATCAAGGAGAAGAAGGCGGCCCAGACCCTCAGCGCCATCTTGCTTGCCTTCATCATCACCTGGACCCCCTACAATATTATGGTTCTGGTGAACACCTTTTGTGACAGCTGCATCCCCAAAACCTATTGGAATCTGGGCTACTGGCTGTGCTACATCAACAGCACCGTGAACCCCGTGTGCTATGCCCTGTGCAACAAAACATTCAGAACCACTTTCAAGATGCTGCTCTTGTGCCAGTGTGACAAACGCAAGAGGCGTAAGCAGCAGTACCAGCAGAGACAGTCGGTGATCTTCCACAAGCGCGTGCCCGAACAGGCCTCGTAGAGTGAGGGCTGGTCGATCGCGGTGACCAAACGCACACACATCAGCCCACAGACCTTAGCAGGGAGTGAGGCGAGGGTGGGGGCAATGTCTGGGCATGATAAATATGTTTTTTATCACCCAGATATGGAAGGAGCTGCCTGTTCACTGACCCACTGAATAAATCCATTTTAATAGAGAAAGTCAAATACCAATTCAGCAAAAAAAAAAAAAAAAAGAAAGAAAGAAAAAAGAAAACAAGAAAGCGTATTACCGAATATAAAGAGATTTATTCCGAAATAGACTTCAAGTGTTTTTTTCTTAAAGAAAGGAAAAAAAATTGTTTCGTAGCAATTACATACCCAAATTGATCTGCTCGGTTCTTGTAATTCCCGTTAGCGCTGGCATCTCAGATGAAAGTAACTAGCTGACACACTTGGCCGCGTCCTTTCCAAGGATCCCGCGCAGAACACGTCAGGCTAGTGACCCCGTGGTTCTGAAATTACTTCATGCAAAGCTGAACCTTCTTGTCCCAATAGAGCTTCCGTCTTCTCTGGTGTGTTGTTAAACTCTATTTGTGGACTTGATTCTTGCCAAGTACTGTTTTGTGCAGTTCCAGTTTCATACAAATAAAAATACAGACATATATATATATATATGTGTGTGTGTGGGTGTGAGAGAGAGAGAGACTTCTGCACACACGCACACATAGTGTATATAATAGAGTGGGAATCGCTGAGCTGGCAAATTATTCCTGCAATAGATGTTTTCAGTACTTTGGTAACTGAAGTTTTCTAGGATCCTAACACAACATAAAAGTGAAATAAACCCAGTGTAATGTTTTGGAAACCAGGGCTTTTTGTCCACAAACCACCCTGGGGAATATGCAGCAGAGAGGCCAGCCCCTGGGAGTCAGGTCCAATGCCATGGCTTGCCCAGACTCTCCAGCGTAAGCCGCGTCCTTTGCTGGTGTCCTCGACAGAGCTCAACCCAACTGGGGCCCCTCTGAGCTCAAAACACAAACCACATGCACATGTTTGAATTCAGTCATTCAGATCTGAATCTTTCCAAACGAAATGTCTGCTATCCAAACTGCTTGAAACTCAGTACTACTGTCACGCTTGAATGTCACACACAGCAATATAGATGGCAAAGTAAAAGGGACACTGGGGAGGGATGGGGAAGGGGGGAGGGGAGTGTGGGATTGGATTTCTTGCTACCTGGCACCTTCCAAACGAAAAAGGGCTTATACCTGTGTTACTTAGTGGTGGCCAGTGCTTTCTGGTTTGTTCTGTGACCTTCACCCAGCCATCGGTGGGGTTTAGGAACTTACGTGTCCCTTGAAGAAAGCATTAACACTCTGAAAAGTATTGCTTCTAATTGATCTCCTTACGTTTCGAGAAAATGATTTTTGTATCTCCTTTGAATTGATCCAAAAGCTTAAATGTTGTATTTGGGGGGAGGGGTGCTGCCGTTGCTGTCATTTTTGTCACTGCTGTAACTGTTGGGGTTCCTGTTTTTCCTTTTGCCGGGCCGTGTGGGGAGCGGGAGGGTGGGGGTGGGGGGTACTGAGGAGAAACCTCAGCTTTGTACAGGGCATCCGTGTCATGGACCCGGAGCCAGAATAGAAGCTGCTTGTGTTCAGTGTGAGCTGGTGTTTACAGGTGACATCAGTGGATGTGGACTCAGTGGTGTCTGTGTTGCTGAGCTATTTAATTTCGTGTTATGTTTCTATGAAGAAATATTTATGCATACTTCACCAACTGTCTATTTAAATGTTGATAAGTATCCCTGTTCAGTCTTCAGCCATGGTGTCCCTTGAAAGAGACTCTTTAAGGTCCACTAGAGCGACGCGTGCAGGGAGCTGGGCTTTCATGAGGCCGGGACGAAGAAAATGGCCATCCCGTGGGCGTCAGACAGTACCAAACTCCTGGGTAATAAAAAGTCAACTGTAGTTGACGTCAGTGTGGAAAACCACTCTTTACTTGATACCTGACAGACCCCAAACGGAGCAAATTTGAAATCACATGACAAGGGGTAAAAAGCAGATCGGCGTCATTGAAAGAATGATCTTTTTTTTTTTTTTTTGGCCCACATTCAACCAAAGAACAAGAAAAAACAGAGACTCTTTTCTAACGTGTAGAGCAGACTACGCAATGTTCTGTGGTCCACCTGTGAAGTGTGTAGTGAGCAGCCACATCCGTATTTTACTTCTCCCATTGGCCTGGCACTAATAATAAATATGTGAATGCAGATTTCAGTGTCCCAGGACTTCATCATTCTAATTCTTTTTGAAACTCCTATCCTGCCTTCTTCCCAAAACGTTGTTTTCCTGTGTTTCAAACAAAATTAGAGACGATTAGATTTTGAGAAATGGAGAAACCCCTGAGCTTTGGCCAAGCTACGAAGGTCACTAATGGTTCTTCTTGAACACGATTCTCTCCTTGTCTTTCTCTAATGCTGATAATGGCAGAAAAGAATCAAACCCAACAGTCTAGCTCCCCTTTACCGTTTTTAAATCTCTTATGGCTGAAAGCTGCTTTTCAGTGCTATCTATGGACTGTTTATAGAAAGGTATGGCCGACTCTTAGGTTGTTTACAGGGAAGGAAAATAAGAAGAGACTCTCTGGAATACAGGGAATCGGGACGTGCAGTCAAAGCTGGAGGACCGTTTATCATGGGACAGGCTACTTGCGCAGCTCTCCAGGGGCCTGTCGGTGAGAGGAGAGGTGCAGCAGTTCCCTAAGGTCAAAGTGTCTTCCTCCGCACCATTTTATTCCGCAGAAGTGAGGTTTGCAGAGCTTTCATGATGATTCACTTTAATTGAGAGAGCAAAATAATTAAGCTTAAAATAAACCACACATGAAGAACACCCCCCCACATACACACATATACACACACACACATAAACATATAAACATGCACACACATACATGCATACACACATATACATGTACATACATATACACACATATACACATGCACATACACACACATACACACCTGTACACCTGTTCCCCCATTCTCTGTTCTCCAAGCCTTACCAGATGGATAAGAGAACTGACTATCGGGTCCCCCATCTCCCTTGGCTCTGTCCCCTTCAGCCCATCGCCCACCCGGGGTCTGTCTGCTCATTCTCCATATTTTTCTATATCATCCTTGCCAGAAACCCAGGCTTGACTCAAAATGTGTTCCATTTCTGTTCACTCTTTCATGGGTAATAGTTCTCCACTCCAACAAAGAAAACAGGAAAGCATAAGCATTAGAAGATTCTGTGGGTAAAGATCTAGAAGCATATCCGCTTTCTCTGTCAAGTGCCCTTGTTACACATGGGCAAGTTCACTGCTCTGGAGAGGGAGGAGAGCCCCTGGGCATCGATTGTGAGAAGCGGGAGGGCGGAGTCTGAGGCAGGGGGCTGCCTCGGGTGGACCCCAGGACAGAAGAACAAGGCCAGGGCTCAAGCACGTTGGAGGAGTCTAATTGGACTACATGAAACAAGGGTAGCGCCTGGGGATTATCCTGGGTGTCCCATAGTGACCTGAGAGAGATGATTCCCACCCAGATGGGGACATATCACTGAGAAATTGGACAGTGCGTCACCAGCAGCTCCAGGGGACAAATGAAGGTAGCACAAAGAAACACTAAACTTAGCATGGCAGTGGGGTGAGAGGAGTTCTCGGCTCAGTTCTGTCCCTGGGGACTTACATGTTCTCTGCCATGCATGTCACTCACCCTCAAACTCTCTGGGTTGTCTCCATATGCTCATACTAATTAATTAATCACAAACAGATCAAAATTGAGGCCTGTTGGGAGGTAGCGGAGAACAGCGAGGAGTGTGAAATGGTATATCTGATGAACGCTCGAAAACTTTATATATCCATCAGTTATTTCCTCACATTTTAAAATGACAGAATCTAAGGAACTCGCAGTTGTGGGTGAACCTGAAATTGGACTGCTTGAACTTGCACTCCAGTCTGGGACCCCGACAGCCTTGCAGACAGAGCTGCTGGGAGCAAGTGTTCGGGGTTCACGGTGGTGGTTCTCCTCTTAAAGGGGCCACAACTCTGCAGAGTACAGCACCTAAAACAGTAACCCTTTCTTCACCCTACCCTCAACTCCTCCCCTAAAAGCACACTTTTCCCCAACCGCAACGTGCAGCGAGCTCAGTTCAGCAGGGAACGACCCAGCCCACACTTCAGGTTCCAGGCAAGTCGCATGGCTTCCGTCTGCAGACTTAAGCCGCCCTCTCTCCTCACGTCTCCATGACTGTATTTTGTAGATCTCAGCCTCCACCTGGATTCATGCTACGTGAGTAAAGATTCCAGACGTAACAGTCTGGTTCTGGGGATGGTAAAACCCAGGTCTCGCTAGAACTAGGCACTTCTGTTGTATTTTTCTGGCTTTAGCATTAGTGCCTGAGGAAGGAGGCTATGGAGAGAATAAACATGAACAAGGACAAGTTGACAACGCGACTGTACTCGGAGAAGTTCGTACCTGCACAATGCTGTCCTGACTGGCTCCGAAACACGCAGGTGTTACTAACATTAACTGGACATGCACAGCCTCACACACACAAGGGCAGACAGTGCTCTTGGAGACGTGTAGAAGTGGACATGAAATGGTTGGGTAGAACCAACGCTTTTGGAGAACATTAGGTCTATGGTGCTCACAGCAGAATCACAGAGACTCAGCACTAAGTTCTGACCCTGCTACCCTGGCCTCGGCTGGGTCCACCCCCAAATAATGACTTGAGACCCAAGTGGCTCCCATCTGAGCTGCAGGAGACGTCCTACATAAAAGGCAAGTGGAAAACAAAGCCACAGCCTCCCTGGCAGAGAAACATCCATAACACATTCCTCACCCAAGTCAGAGTCCAGGAACCCACCTTAACCTAAAAAAGATTATCCCCAGAATATACAAGTTTATCATTGTCCCTTCTGGAAGTCCAAGACCCTTAACAATTCTGCAGCTTACACACCATGTCCCAAACTTTTGATCCTCAATTCTGGGAGTTCCTTAAGGATACAATGTGGGTCTTAACCATCCATCTGTCTCCTGTGACTGGTTCAGTGTTTAAGAGTAGATACTTAATAAATGTTGTTGAATGTGTAATATATACTCCTTATTAATTAATGTATCACTTATTTATCAGGATTATGTGCACCTCCCTACCCCACGCTGAGCCCCGAAAGTCACCTAAAGGAAAATGTGATAATGG